TATGTTCATGTAACAGGCAGGAAAAACAGAAACTAAAAACAGAGAAGAAACAGAACAAAAGTGACTTAATATATCAATGATAATAAATGTAAATGGTCTAAATACATGAATTAAAATACAGAGATTTACAGTGTATATTTTTAAAAATGACCTAACTGTACTGACAGTCCCCAGATTACAATAGTTGAACTTGGATGATTTTTCAACTTAACGATGAGTTTATTGGGATGTAACTCCGTTGTAAGTCAGGGTGCTCCTTATGACATAGTGTGGTTATGGTTTCTATTGAATGCATGTCACTTTATACCATTGTAAAGTTGAAAAGTTGTAACTTGAACCATCATAAGTCAGGGTCCATATGCTGTGTTGCCAGCATAAACTGCATTTTTCACATATATTTTTCACTTTTCATGAGTTTATTGGTATGTAATTGCATCATAAGTCAAGGGGTAACTGTATGATGTCTGTAGGAAACTCCAAGTATAACCATATAGGCAGTTTGTAAATAAAAGGATATAAAAAGATACATCATGGAATCATTAATTAAAAGCAGGAGTGGCAGTATTAATATCAGATAGAGCAGACTTCAGGGCAAAGGAACATAACAAAGAAAAATACCAGATTTAGGCCGTGCGTGGTGGCTCACGCCTGTAATCCCAGCACTTTGGGAGGCCGAGGCAGGCGGATCACAAGGTCAGGAGAATTGGGACCGACGGGTGGAAACCCCCGTCTTACCTGAAAATACCAAAAAATTAGCTGGCACGGTGGCGGGCGCCTGTAGTCCCAGCTACTCAGGAGACTGAGGCAGGAGAATGGCGGGAACCCGGAGGTGGAGCTTTGCAGTGAGGGAGATCGCGCCACTGCACTAGCCTGGGGGACAGAGCAAGACTCCGTCTCCAAAAAAAAAAAAAAAATAAAAACGAAAGAAAGAAAATACCCATATTTGTATAGAAAGAGATTATATAATGACAAAAGAGGTCAACCCAGCAAGAAGACACAGGAATACTAAATGTAAATGTATGTGCACCAGAGGTGCAAAATGTTTGAAGCAAAAATTGATAGAACTAAAAGGAGAAATAGACAAATCTATAATTATAGTTGGTGACTTCATACCCCTCTCTCAACAAGTGATAGAACAATTAAAAATCAGCAAGGATAAATAATAATGCAATAACACCATCAACCATTAGAACCTAAATAACATTTATAAAACATGCCACCCAAGGAGAACACCCAGACATATTCTTTTGATGTATTCACTGAATGTATATAAATGCTTACTGAACATATGCAAGATAGACCATATCCTGGGCTATAAAATAAACCTCAACAAACTTACACAACTTGAAATCATAACAAGTGAGTTTTCTGACCACAGTAGAATCAAACTAGAAATTAATAACAGAAAATAACAGGGAAATCTTCAAACACTTGGAAATGAAACGACATACTTAAAAAAAATTTATGGGTCAAGGAAGAAATTTCAAAGAAAAACATTTCAGTGAGATTACATTTCAAAAAATACATTGGATGAAAATGCAGCATATCAAAAATTTTAGGACACAGCTAAACCAGTGCCAAGAAAAATTTGTAGCACTAAATACATGCGTTAGAAATGAGAAAACAAGTCAGTAATGTAAGCTCCCATCTCAAGAACCTGTAAAAAGAGCATCAAAAAATAAATAAATAAAGCAAGCAGAAGAAGGGAAATAATAAACATAGCAGAAATTGAAAACAGAAATAATAGAGAAAATCAGTGAAACAAAGAGCTAGTTCTTTGAAAAGATAATAAAAGTGACCAACTTTTAGCAAGACTAACAAAAAAGATGGAAGATACAAATTTTACCTATCTCAGGAATGAGAATATCACTCATGACCTTGCAGACATTAGAAGGGAAATGAGAATCCTTTGAACAACTCTACTGTAATAAATTTGACAATGCAGGTGAAATGGATCAATTTCTTAAAAGGCACAAACTACCACAACTCATTTAATGTGAAATCTGCAGTTTGTATAGAGCTATTACTGTTAGGGAAATTGAACCTGTAATTTTAAAACTCCCAAAATGAATAGTTAACTAGAGAATTTTACCAGGTGTTTAAAGAAGAATTAGTACCAATTCTACATAATGTCTTCCCCAAAAATGGAAGAGGAATGTTACCAATAGGGGAATCTTGGTTAAAGGATATACAGGATCCCTCTATATTAATCCTTATAATAATTCTTTGTGAACCTACCATTATCTGAAAAAGTTTAATTTTAGAAGAAGTAACTGGAGAAAGAAAAGACATCTTATACAGAGGAACAAAGAATGACAACGGACTTATTTTTACAAGTAGTACAAGCCAGAAGACAGTAGAGCAGTATCTTTAAAATACTGAAAAAAAAAAAAAAGAAAGAAAGAAACCTAGGCACTTTGATTCCAGAGCCTTTTCTCTTACCCATATCCCTATCTTGTATCGTAAAGGTAATAAAAACAAGGAAGGATGGAGTAATTAGATAACACTACCTTTCCCTCTTGTGTGCTTTGGGGAATTGAAGTGCTATCATTTTTTGAAAAGGAAATCAGTCACTATTCCTAGTCCTATTGTTTCTGTTTAGTTTCCTTTACTTCAATAACTTTTTAAAAAGTAGTATCAGTTAGCACATTGTCTTATCTGTCAAGCAGGTTTATATTTAGAATAGAATACAGTAAATGTAGAGGTAACTGCAATACAGGCGGATTTAGATAAAGTTCATAAAAGAGAAATTTAAACAAAGCCCTTTGGAAATTTAGAGGAAAGATTGAGAGCACAAGAAATTGAGGAAATCAAGGAAGATGACATGTGAGTCTGATTGAAAATGGCAGAAAAGGGAAGAGCTGAGGCTTTGTCCAAGATCTGTGCCGAATGTCTGGGACATGAGTAGTGTTATGGCAATGATTGTAATAAGCTCTGCATCAGCAGAGATTTTGTGTTTGTTTGCTTATCTGCTGGGTTGTGTCCTTACTACCTAAAACAGTGTTGGGTACTTAGTAAGTACTCAGTAAATATTTGTTGCATGAATAAATAAATGAATAGTAAAATTAGATGGCAGTTTTGGTAAGAATGATTTGATGCGTCTGGTTTAGGAGTTATAAACATGGAATCTAATTCTCAGCCATCAGCTAGCTGTCATCCAGTCTCGTAGCTTCAACTATGACTTCGGCTATCACACAGATGCCTCTGAAAACGTGGAAAGGAAGCAATAATATAGGAAGTATATAGGTCAAGAACATTGTGAACTGTGTGACCCTATGTGTAAAATGGGAACTACAAGAGAAATTATTAATATTGATTTTACATGTGGAGCACTTAGCTCAGTATTTGATCCATATTAAGTACTCAGTAAAGGGCACCACTGTCTGAAACTGAGTTACACATTGACTCCTGACCTTAGATGAGCCATCACACCTGTAATATAGCACATTAAAACCATATTAAGTTACCTCATGTAAAAGGTAAACAGGATCTTAAAGATCAGCTAGCCCAAGTTCTTCATTTAAACTGAGGACAGAATACAGTGGATAAAAAGGTAATCTTGGGACCTAACCAGGAAGTAATAGTTATTTGTAAAGCGTGGGAGGAAAAATAGGAGAGAAACACTAATTAGTTGGGCTTTGAGGGCTTAACTCTAAATACCACAGCTGCCTTCAAGGATGAATTTTATTCTCTGGAAAATAATATTTGTCTGCTGGATAGCTCTACCTATATTTCTCATTGGCATTTAAATTCAGCATGTCCAGAAACAAATTGGAATCACTATGTGTTAAAACTAAAAAGGTTGTTAGAGTGCATCTAACTCAGTTTCCCATTTTACAGGTGTGGAGAACAGATCCTGCTCTGGGGTGGAGGTCTTAAACTTTTTAGATTCATTGGTAGTGCTGTGATCAAACAGTTGTTCCTTTTGCCTAGGTTGTGGAGCATTTCTTTAGGTTTTTTTTTTTTTTTTTTTGCGAGGGGAGCTTACAGTGAGCCTTTGATGTTGATCCTGGCTGTAAACAACCTCTGTCTTGTTTTGAGCAGCAGTTTTCAACTTTTTAAAAAACAAAAAAACCCAGCTGAATCTTTTACTTAAGTTGAATCATATGAAGAAACCCCAAAAAGAGACTAAAAATAGAAGCTTATGGTTAATGCCAGAGATTTGGTGGGGGTGGTGGTAGGGGATAGATAGTTGGGGAGATCAGGAAAGGGAAAGAATGAGTTATAGACCCTAGTTGCTTGCCACTGGTCTCCAGGGGTGAGGAGCTTCTGAAATGCCTTAGAGGTTAGGAAACAGTTTGAAACCCACTGATTTGGAGGCCCACGAAGTCCAGCAGTGATAATTGGCATGAATGACAAGACCACTGATGTCTCTGCTCTGCAAGTTCCCCAGTGACTTTAACACTTGCCCTGGAGTAATGATTTTTCAATTCTTTCTTGAATCTAAGGGCTAAGAACTAGGCCATCATTACAATTAGGACTTTAATAAACTCTCAGCTATCATTTAAAAACTCTCATCAATCACATTTGCTTTTATGTACACAGACAGGCAGTTTTTGTGTGAATTAAGTTGCCCTGACATAGATAATTTTATTAGTATAGACATAGCTCAAGAATTACAGTCATGTGAGGAAAAGCTTAAGAGTAGTCAGAGTTTTGGTCATGAACCCCTATAATGTTATGATGAATTTTAAAATACTTGATGTATTTTTAATAATTATTTTTATAGTATTATAATTTTTAAATTTTAGTCAGCAACTGATTAAGCCCTGTGCTAGACACCACGTGGAAATAGAGGGAAAACAGGACACAGTCCTTGAACTCACATTTGAATCTCACTAAGAACAGAAAGAAGGTGATACTTAAAAATTTTTCCTTTGTACTTTGTTTCAGCACTCGAGCTTTGATTTTGTGCAATTTTTAATTTTACTGATTTGTAAAGCATGTTCATGACTGAAAATTTAATTAACTTTGTATGCTTTCTTTAAAATTATTCTTAGATTGCAAGACTGGAGGAAGATAAAGAAGAACTACGTAACCAGCTGCTTAATGTTGATCTCACAAGAGACAGCAAACGAGTGGAACAACTTGCTCGAGAAAAAGTCTATTTGTGTCAAAAATTAAAAGGGTTAGAGGCTGAAGTAGCGGAATTAAGGGCTGAAAAGGAGAATTCTGATGCTCAGGTGGAAAATGCCCAAAGAATACAGGTGCGGCAGTTGGCTGAGATGCAGGCTACAGTCAGATCCCTGGAGGTAAGATTCTGATTACTTCCCGGTAGAGTATGGCATACTTTTTTAAAGTGCAATTGACAAACCTTTGATTTTTAGAGCATAAATGTATGCTCTCCAAGCTAATGCTGACACATTTGTGTAATCCCAAGAGTATTTATTCTTTTAGTAAAGAAGAAAGCTATTGATTCATAAGCAATACGTATGCTACCACATTTATAAAGGGATATTTATTCTGTGGGAGTTAGGTCACCTATCTGAAATGTCTTAACTCTTAAAATGCCACATAATAGAATATGCAAAATAAAAATGTATGTATTTGAGTTTCTGAAAGTAAAGTCATCTCAAACCATAAAGAATAATTTCTTTCAAGATAGTACATTCCTTACACTGGGATTTGAGATCTTAAAGTCACAAATCCTGCTTGAACAGAAATACTATACTGATATATCTTATGATAGCTTCTTCCCAGACTAGTAAAATCCAACTGTAAAGGTATACATGCCTTTGCAGAATTATTTCCCTGGATTCATTAGAGAAAGATAAGTGTTGGCAGACCTGACTGGTACTCCTAGGCGTATTGCCTTATGAAAATTCTTGGTTTCCATTTTATTCAGATATACTTATTCTTCTTAGTTCTTAGTGCCTAACTTGTAGCAAACATACCTGTTTAATTGTTTTTATTTTTTACAATTCAAAGTGTTTCTTTTTCCTTTGGAATAGTTATAAAATGATTTGGGGAGGGGCATTAGCGGGCATTTAATTTGTAGTTAAAATCAATATCCAAATCCAAGATGGTGATTTTTTTTCCCCCAGCCAGTGATACAGGAATACATTGGTATGTTTTGAAGAGTAGAAGTTACTTTTTTATTTTGTTACATGACGCTAGGTCAGTATTTACTGGTTTTCTGAATTAAAAGTTGTCAGTATCATTGTACCTTAAACATGAAGCAGTTCATTGTGAGACTGTTTATGTTGCCATCCTTCCATCCTTATGTATTTTACACAGTGACAGAATAAGTGAGACGATTGCAGTTGAATATAGCATACAGTTCTGATGGGAAACTTTCCATTGAGGTCCTTTAGAGTGATTATTTTCAGGGCAAGTTGAATGATGACAAAAGATTTGTGACATTTTCGTAAGAGCCTATATTTTTATCATTTGTCAGATGAAATGAAAATAAGCATATGACAGCAAACATTTCTTTCTTCTTTAACTTTCTTGGCTATCATTGTGCCCAGAGAGTATTATTTCATATATGAAGAAAATAGGTTTTTTCCCTAATTATTTGTCGAATATAGTCCTTACATATTTAAGATAGATGTTCCCCAACTTAAGGTGGTTTGACTTATGATTTTTTGACTATACAATGGTGTGAAAGCCATATATGTATTTATGTACTTTGAATTTTGATCTTTTCCTGGGTTACTGATACGTGGTATGATACTCTCAAGCTGTGTAGCTGCACTGAGCCACAGTTCCCAGTCAGTCACATGATCATGAGGGTAAATAACCTCTTTACTGAGTACTGTGTTGCCAGATGATTTTTTCCAACTGTAGGCTAATTCACGTGTTTTGAGGATGCTTAAGGTAGGCAGTCTAAGTTATGGACTTAGATATTTTCAATTTGTGATGGGTTTATCAGGATGTAACCCCATCATAAGTTGAAGAGCATCTATATGTACGAAATGAGATGTTATGAAACTGAAGTGTATCCTTTAAATGCCGAAACGTTTTCATTTTGATTATGTTGAGGTCGGGTATGGTGGCTTATGCCTGTAATCCCAGCACTTTGGGAGGCTGAGGTAAATGGGTCACCTGAGCTCAGGAGTTTGAAATGAGCCTGAACAACACGGGTAAAACCCTGTCTCTACAAAAAATACAAAAATTAGCCAGGCGCCATGGTGTGCACCTGAAGTCCCAGCTACTCGGGAGGCTGAGGCAGGAGAATTGTTTGTGCTTGGGAGTCTGAGGTTGCAATGAGCCAAGATCATGCCATTGCACTCCAGCCTGGGAGACAAAGCAAGACCTTGTCTGAAAAAAAATACGTGTGTGTGTGTGTGTGTATGTGTGTATATATATGTGTATATAATGTTGAGTAGACATGTTTTTTAAAAAAGGTTTTAGTTCCCCTCCCTTCATGAAAGAGTACTATCAATATTACCAACCAGAAACATTTTTGACAACCTACAGACTTCATTAACAATCTTAATTGTGTCATGAGATCAGGAGCCTCTTTGCTCACACTTAAGAAGTCTGCAGATTAGCTGAGGATTTTGAAATAATATATTTCCCTATTTCTTTTTTGAAAATCATTGATTTTAGATTTTCAATTTGTACTTGTTACTATCAATGAGCCCTGTCTTCTACTTTCTAATATGCTTTTTCCTATCTGTTGTAGACTGGAAACTTCCAAAAATGTTTGAAATAAGTCAGTGTTAAAAATAAAGAGACATCAAGTGAATGCCTTAGGTAGTTTCTCTCATGAGAGAAGTATATAAACTTTATTTTGTTGGTGGTCATTCATATGTTGTTTGTCTAGATACCTTTGTTGCATATTTCCTGAAACACTATCTTTCATTTGAATTCTACAATTAGTTTGAGAAAATGTTTGTTACATTGGTATATGTTAATGTTGAGGTTTTGAATAATTTTTGTATAATTGTAAATGTATTTTAAATAGTGCTTATTTGCTTTTGAAATACTTGAAAAATAAATGAATTTTAAAATATTTTGTTTGAATGAAAGGCTGAAAAACAATCAGCTAATTTACGGGCAGAACGCTTGGAAAAAGAGCTACAATCAAGCAGTGAACAAAATACCTTTTTAATTAATAAATTGCATAAAGCTGAACGAGAAGTAAATACATTGTCCAGTAAAGTAAGTTGTTTTATGTTTCTGTTTCATTCTTTAGAATGTTTGTTACTATATAATGATAAATTTTATTTTTAATAATTCATTTCTTTATACTGAAATGTTTTATTATATCATTCTACCTTCCAAGAAATAAATACATTGATCAGTAGAGTATGTTATCTTATGCCTCTACTTCATTCTGTAGAATACTTGATACTGTACAGTGACAAATTTTGCATTCTCTGTATTGAAGTATTTTTAATCCCATCACTCTGCCTTCCAAATACATGCAGAATCTGATCAATTCTTACCACATCCACCGTGACCTTTCTAGTCCAAGCCATGATTTTTTTAGGCTCAATTTCTGTGCCAGGTTGCTTACTGGTCTTCCTGCTTTCTACCCATTCAGAGCTCTGTGTGATCTGGAGTCTTTTCACAGCCATGACCATGTATTTTTCCTCCTGTTCACTTCGCTCCCTTTGGCCTTGTCACTCTTTGAGCAAACTCACGTCTTGCTCTGAGTTTCTGCACTTGTCTGACCTTGACTCAGTCTTCCCTCACATATCCACATAACTTGCCTCCTCACCCCCTAGATGTTGCCTAACCAGAGAGGCTTTCCTTGTCTTCACATTGGAAAATAGCATCTTCCTTCTTCCTCTGTCTTTCTGTCTTCCTTACCTGCTTCATAGCTCTTAATACTATCTGATATAGTTATTTGGTTTTTATGTTTTTGTCTCTCCTTTTCTTTCCCACCACCTTCCTTTCAACCCAATATAAGCTCCAAGAGAGCAGGGACATTGTTTTCATCACTACTACTTTTCCAGCTTCTAGAACAGTGCCGGCACATAGTAGGTACTCAATAAATATTTCTTCAATGAATAAATTAGTAGTAGCAGCATGATCTACATTTATATTCTCCTTGACAGACTGGATTAAAATTCTGATTTTTCCGTTACTAAAAAAAGCTGTGTGACCTTGGGCAGTTCACCATCTCTCTGAAACTTAAGTGAAACTTAAGTCTATGAAATGGGACTAATACCTACTTTATAGAATTGTGGCAAAAATTAAATGTAGCTGATGATGAAAATGATAATAGCAGTGATTATACACTGGTAATATCCTTAAATAAGAAAATATTGTAACATAAATAATACAGAATTTTTAGTCCATTGACTAGTCTGTATCTCACTGTCTCAATAACTGTGTGTAACCTTAGGCAAGTTTACCTAATATCATTAGGATCCAATTTCCTTATATCTGTAAGAACTCTTCCAGCCTACTAAGACTGTGTAAGAACTACTAGGAAATAATTTGATTGCCTCCTGATTAACTATAAGTAGATTATATATTCAACAGATACACATTCAATGCTTATAACTATAGAGTATACAAAAAAAATAGATATAAAACACAAGTAAATTCAGGATATAGGGAGTTTCCATGCTTTTCTTCCAATTCCAGTATAAATTATTTTTAGTTTTGTAAAATAATATTGAATACCTAGTATTGCAGCACATCGTTCTTGACCTGAGTAGCCAGACTACACTGCTGGAATAATTGGAACCACACATGTCGCAAAAGGACATGGGATATGCTGGCTTGTGCAGTGGCTTCTCTCTTGGGGGGTCACCAAGTATAATACTTTTCATGCAGTACATTTTACCTGAGCTCTTTGGCTCACCTTTGTGCTGACCCTGATTTTCCTTCTTTTTTTCCGTATATATACTCTTCCCTATTGCTCTTTCCTTTTAGAGTTAGAGCATAGGTGATTTCTCCTACTCTGCTGGAGAAAAAACAGCAATCTAGTATAGTATTTATTTCTTTGTGCTTGTTTATTAATACACGTTGCTAAGAGTTGCCTGTCTTTTTAAAGGCACACTTGCATTATTTTGCATATAAATGGAGTATTAAATACCATCCTTTAACTTTAAACAAACTAAGTTTCATTTGAAGTCTTGCATGTAAAGATTCCATTGGAAGGGTAAATTTTAAAATAATATTTCAAACATGACTGCCACAGTTTTCTTTGCAACTTGAAATTTTCATAAACATTTTGCAATTCTAGCAAATGGTTGTTTGCGGTGCAAAGGAACACCTGGGGTGTGTTGTCTAAGTTATTCAAATTCATAAATGTTTGTCAGATTTTAGAACAAAGTTATGTCAGTGTGAGTATCAGTGTCTTGGATTAAAAGGTGTTACTAAAGATGGCCTGAAAATGATGACCTTAAGGAGATTTCACATTCAGCGAGGTAAATTCTTCTAGTTCCCTCATAACGTTTTTCATTTTCAGAATGCCAATAAAAGATAGTTTTAAGGAAGCCACCCAACAGAGTTGTCCTTATTTACCTAAATTAATGAGGTAATTATGTCTCAGAACTTTGAAAACGATCAGGATTTGAGTACCATCTCTTTGGAATCTGTATCCAGGGCTTCTTAGGTAATACATATTGTCAATTATATTTCCGTTTCTTACTTGTTTATACTGTGCTCTTGTGTGTCTTTCTGTGAGTATGTGTACTTTAACAGATCCTGACCCCCTATAAAATGCCCAGTATTGCCAGTTTTGACATTTATTAAAGTTTTGTTAGTAATATCTGAATACTTCCATTGTGTGAAAAACATAAAGCAAATTCACAACATAAAGGCCAGAATCTATATGGCAGGCATTCTGTGAAGAACAGGGTGACTTGATCCAGTGGAGCTTCAGGAGACCATGAATTACTTGAAATTTTGTGCAACATTTTAACATGAGCATTTTATTTTTAAAAAATCCCTAATTTTCCTAGGATTTGGGACTTGATCACAAAGAAGATTAAGAACCAGGGATCTAGGGGCAGAAAGAAACCTTATTGTAACATTTGGAATTTGGTTCAGATTACTCATAGAAAAGTGCTATTATTGTCATTACTGGGTAATAAATTTTCATACGTTATTTTAAGTAAAATTCCTTTTAGTATATTTTTAGGAAATTAACAGTGTTCGTGTAAGTGCATCGGTGATGTTAGGATGATACAAATAAGGCAATAAAGAAAAGCTTAAGATCCATAGATGAGTAAATTTGATGCAGAGAGGACAGGTACATTGCTTGAGCATATACCACTGGTTTAACAGCAAAAGGAGGCCTGAAGACAGACCTCACTTGTTGCTTGACTTCCTATTCGGTGTTCTTTCAGTTTCAATAATTATAGTTTAGTTAAAGATGTCTTCTCATTTCAATAAATCTTAGGGTGAAATGAAAAAGAAGTTTTTGTAGATCTTGAAGTTACCATGAGGTGAATCAACTTCCTATGAAATAAGATAGCTCTAATTTTCCACCTTATGCAGCTATAGTATGTTTGTTAATGAAATGCTGTGTCATTCTTACCCTTTTACAGTTAGTATATAATAGCAGGTTATAATTACGTTTGTCATAGTGATTGGATTTTCTTTGTAATTATATTTCCTCAAAATCTTAAAGTATTTGTAATTTAAATTCTATCTGTCCATGAAATTATAATGTAATAAAACCCAATCTACAGAAAGTTTAAGTATTAAAACAAATTCTCAGCTGCTTTCATGTAAACATCATTTTATAAAACTTACTTTTGTAGAAAAGAACTTCCAAAAGGAAATTAAAAATGCAGGCTGGGCGTGGTGGCTTGTGCCTGTAATCCCAGCACTTTGGAAGGCCAAGGCGGGTGGATCATGAGGTCAGGAGTTCAAGACCAGCCTGGCCAAGATGGTGAAACCCCATCTCTACTAAAAATACAAAATTTAGCCAGGTGTGGTGGTGCATGCCTGTAATCCCAGCTACTCAGGAGGCTGAGGCAGGAGAATCGCTTGAACCCCGCAGACAGAGGTTGCCGTAAGCTGAGATCAAGCCACTGCATTCCAGCCTGGGTGACAGAGCGAGACTCTGTCTCAAAAAATAAATAAATAAAAATGCAAAACTGATGTCAGCACAAGGTTGCCATTTTATGAACGGTCATTTAAAAATCTACGAGTTAATTTGGAGGGATGTCTTATTGTAGTTACCAGTACGAAGGCAGTACTCACTTTTCTGTTTATTTCCTTTAAATGAAGATTTTGCATGAAACTATTCCTTGAAACATTTTCAGGACCTTTTGTTGATGGAGTCTCTTCCAGTAAGACACTTCTATTTCTCATCCTTGCCCTCTTTGGCTCTAGGACCTCTTTTTGATTTGTGTCTGACTCCCAACTCCAGTTTTTATGGGGTTTTTATTGGACTCTTAAGTAAATTGTCTTTTACTTTCCTGTTTCTACCATCTCACATTTTCTGTATTTGACTTGTATATATTTGTAGTTTCCTACTCTGATTCCATAGTTTTCTATATTTGGGTAATATATCAGAAAATGGGTCATCTAATCTTTATGTTTGTATTGATTAAATCCTTATTATATGACTATATCTAATTTTAGAAGCTCCTTACCAAAGAGAAGGGCTATGGAAAATGAATTTATATGATTTATTCTTGTTCCTGCCTCTATCCCCTACCTCATACTTGTGCACATGCGCACACAGACACAATCAATACACATAGACTATTTTGTCACCAGATTCAATTGATTCTTCATTCCCCCCCTTTATTCATTCTTTGCCTCTTAATTGATTTATTTACCTTCAGTTTCTTAAGCCAACAGATTTACATTAATTAATTGTGCCACCTTCAACAGCTAACCGAAAAACAACCCTTTCGTATGGTATATAAAGTTTATTCCCTGCCATTCCTCCACAGATTTCACATCTGCCGGTGCTCTCCATGTAATACATAGCTTGTTTTAAGAGCAGACCATGTCATGTTACACACATAATAACATTTTATATGCTGTTCCTTCTACCTAGAGTACCTTCTTTGTCCCTAACACATTTTTTATGCTTAAATTTAATTTTAATTTTTTTAGAGACAAGGTCTCACTCTGTTGCCCAGGCTGGACTACATTGGCACAATCATAGTTCACTGCAACCTCAAACCCCTAGACTCAAGTGATCCTCTTAGTCTCCCCAATGGCTGGGACTAAGGTGCTAATTTAAAATTTTTTTTTTTTTTTTTCAGAGAAAGGATCTCACTATGTTGCCCAGAGTGGTCTCCAACACCAGGCCTCAGACACTTCCTTCTGCCACAGCCTTTTGAGTAGCTGGGATTTTAGGTGCAAGTTACTGTGTCCAGCTCTGGACACTTTTTAAAAGGAAGGTTTCAGGCCAAGTGCAGTGGATTACACCTATAATCCTAGCACTTTAGGAGGCCAAGGCAGGAGGATTGCTTGAGGCCAGGAGTTTGAGACAAGCCTGGTCAACATAGCAAGAGCCCATCGCTACAAAAAAATTGAAAAATTATCTGAGTGTGGTGGTGTGCACCTGTAGTCTTGACAGCTACTTGGAATGCTGAGGAGAGAGGATCACTTGAGCCCAGGAGTTTGAAGTTAAAGTGAGCTATGACTGTGCCACTGCACTCCAGCCTGGATGACATAGTGAGACCCTGTCTTTTAGAAATATTAACAAATTTAAAAAGTTTCAGAATTTTTTCCCTGCAGATTTTCCAATCATCAAGTATTTGATTTTAGATACTTGTAATTAAGTCTTTAAGGCAAGATTAAGCCAGAGGACCATACATAGATATTCGTAAGGAAATACCTCAGTTCTGTTAGGAAAGAACAGTGTTTTCTTGATGTCTCCTTATTTGAAGTACTGTTGCAGGCACTGACACTCCTTTCTTCTTGAAAGGTACTTAGACTCTACTATCAAAGCATTTTCTCGTTTCCATTTATGTTTTGGGGTAAGTATTGAATGACAAGAAAATGACGAATAGTAATTTCAATTTTTAATTATCAACAGGTGAAAGAACTTAAACATTCAAACAAACTGGAAATAACAGACATCAGACTGGAGACAGCAAGGGCTAAGAGTGAGCTAGAAAGAGAAAGGAATAAGATTCAAAGTGAACTGGATGGTAATGTGTGATTTCCCTTGCTGCTGCTGCTGCTTATTTTCAGATATGAACTCAAATTATTAAAATAGTTGAACATGAATTTTTATTTCCAGATTTTCAACGTAGTTTAGTTTTAATTTTGGAGTACATATGAAATGTTTATTATATGTTGAGTGTTTTGTTCATTGTGAGACTTAACAACTTTTAAAAAATCAGTCTTATGTTTTTATCATAGTTTTTGGATACATAAATGAACTTTGTAAATGGGATGCCATACTTCGTGATTTATAAATCTTAAATCTATTTATTGTGTAGTTTATCACTCCCAGGACATTTTAAGTCTAGAGAATGTGAAGAAGATCATTGGGTTCCAGGCTTAATTTTTTTCAATTAAAAAATTTTTTTTATGTAGACCCTAGGCCAATCATTGTAGCCTAGTGTAGAGTAGGCTTATTTTTTTATTTTTTATTTATTTATTTATTTTTGAGACGGAGTCTTGCTGTGTCCCTCTGGCTGGAGTGCAGTGGCGTGATCTCGGCTTACTGCAAACTTCACCTCCCAGGTTCATGCCATTCTCCTGCCTCAGCCTCCCGAATAGCTGGGACTACAGGCGCCTGCCACCAGGCTGGCTAATTTTTTGTATTTTTAGTAGTGACAGCGTTTCACTGTGTTAGCCAGGATGGTCTTGATCTCCTGACCTCGTGATCTGCCTGCCTCGGCCTCCCAAAGTACTGGGATTACAGGTGTGAGCCGTGCACCCGGCCAAGGAGGCTTATTTTTAAGTTCCAGTTTAATCTTAGAACATCCATCTCATCAGGTTTCTTCATTATTTATGTTGTTTCTAACTTGAAGTATTTAAATAAGCTTACATTTGGCCTGTAGCTATCCTTGGGTTGATCTGTAGTTGAACTCATTTCAGACAGAGTTTATGATGAATGCCTTTCATGTTTTGAAACGGGGTCTCACCTTGTTGCCCAGGCTAGCTTTGAATTCCTTGGCTCAAATGATCCTCCTGCCTAAGCCTCCTCAGTAACTGGGACTACAGGTGCTAACACCGTGTCTGTATGCTGTGAATGATTTTTTCCAATTATTGATTTCTATTTATTTGGCTCATGGATTTCCATAGAGTTAGGGAGTAAATTTTTTTAGGAACTTAAAGGATGCTGCATTTTGTTTTTACTTTGAGTTAGATGTGAGTTTGCTTTAATTATTCCATCTGCAAAGTATTTGCCATTTCATCACCAAGATTTCTGAATTCATTGTACAAACTTGAAAGTGTCCGTGTTATTTATACTTCTGCTAGAAATCTAGCAGTTCTGCTAGAATCAACAGGTTTTGAAGGGTTTTGTGATTTATTTCACTCTGCTATCGGCCAGCTTTGTCTATGATGCTGTCTTAGAGGCTTAGGTCACAGAACCCCTTTAGAAGTGAAGAAAGTAAACCTCTGGTTTATCATCCAGGTTGTTCTCAACTCTCAGTGTTCGAATGAGTAAATGTATATAGCCTTTTATTAAAGTTTTTATATGTGTATGCACTAAATAAACAGTGACAGGAGAATTTGCTCTGAGTTGTATCCTGTTTCATTCTCTATTTTAAGAGAGTTTATTAATGATGTGAGTATTATTGAGAATATATATTCATAGAGACTTTCTACATTCTTTTAGTTGTCTTACCAGCTTATGAATACTTGCTGTTAAATGTGACTTTTCATCTTAGTAACATTGAATATAGTACATTTTTCTCCTTAAAAAACACTAGGATTACAGTCAGACAATGAAATTCTCAAAGCAGCTGTTGAACACCACAAAGTGCTCTTAGTAGAAAAGGATCGTGAATTAATACGTAAAGTACAAGCTGCCAAAGAAGAAGGTTATCAAAAACTTGTGGTATTACAAGATGAAAAGTAAGTACTTAATTACCTTAGTTTGACTTAAATATCCTTGCAAATGAAAACATTTTGCTGTTATATCATCTTTATTATAGTTCTTGTAACATAATTATGATCTCTTGTTTTAGGTTAGAACTCGAGAACAGATTAGCAGATTTGGAGAAAATGAAAGTAGAACATGATGTCTGGAGGCAATCTGAAAAGGATCAGTATGAGGAGAAATTGCGGGCTTCACAGATGGCAGAAGAGATCACCAGGAAGGAGCTTCAGAGTGTTAGGTGATATATACATAGATATTTAAAGTTTTTCATGTTGAAATAATGTCAGAGTTAACAAAATGATGTACAAGTAGTACAAAGAATTCCCATGTGCCCTTCACCCTTATCTCCCAAATACGGATACCTTATGTAACCATATTATAATAACCAAGATTAAGAAATTAATATGAATATGATCAGGAAATCAGACATTACTATTATAAAATCTATTAACTGTACTCAAATTTTACCAGTTGTCCCACTGATGTCTTTTTTCTGGTCTAAAACCCAATCCAGGATCACACATTGCATTTAGTTACTTTTAATATGGAACATATGAACACTTTGACAAATACTTGTCAGTATTTTGTATATCCTCTCTCAATTTGGTTTTGTATTGCATTTTTCATGGTTAAATTCAGGTTAGGCATTTTTAGGAAAACATCAAAGTCATGTGTCCTCAGTGCATCATATTAGGAGGTTCATGATTTGGCCCCTTAACTGGTGATTTTAACTTTGATCACTTGGTTAAGGTGCCATCTGCCATGTTTTTCCCCTATAAAATTACTATTTTTTTCCCTTTGTAATATATAATTATCTTGTGGTTGCCCATATGATATTTCAAGTCTATGTAAATATTCTCATATTTTGCCTTTATATATTCTTCCATTAATTTTAGTATCCATTGATAATTGTTATCTGAAACAGTTATAATTCTAGCCCTTGCCAAATGGTGATCTTTCCATTTCTGTGATCCTTCCACATTTATTAGTTGAAATTCTCCTGAAAGGAAGAGCTTTCCATTCTCCTCTAGATATATTTATATCACTATGGATTTATACATTCATATTTTTTCTATAGATTATAATATTTTGTTATAATATTTTGTGTTGCTCAACTTCTCTCAGATTTGGCTATTGGAAGATCTTTCAAGTTGAATCCCATGTCCTTTTGACATAATCCCACGATTTATTGTGACTTTTTTCTATCTTTATAGGATGTTCTATGATTCTCTTTCACTTTCCCTGCCCCAGCCCTGGAATTAAGCATTTCTCTGAGGTGCTTTGATTCCTTTTTAATTGGAGAATGGCATTTAGAAACCAAAATCTCAGCTCTAGGTATGCTTGTTGGTACTAGAGAGTCATTGCTTCTAGGTCCTCTCAGTGAACTGAAAAGTACACATTTATGTCTATTTCTTTATTTCTTTCTCTATATTAATAATCTTGAGTTTACATTGATATTTCCGGCTCTGTTCCAGCACCATGGAGTTCATTCTGGCCTTCCTCTTTTCATACTTGCAATTCTTTTGACAGTGAGAAAACTGATATTCATTATTCATACTGTATTTACTCAGTCCTAGAATATAAAATTGTTTTAGAATTGCTAACTCATCACTCAATGAAAAACAAACCCATTAACTTACATGTAATATTTGTGTATAGTTGTTTTTATCTTTAACCTTAGAGTATATAGTCAAAATATTGTTTTCCAAAGTCACTTATGATTTTTCTCCCTGAATTCTCCTTTAATGTGGTTTGTTATTATAAAGCAGGTTTATTCTTTCTGTTCTATTCTATTTTGAGTCCATACCTCATCCTTGTTTATTTATTTATTTATATATTGGGCTTTTGAAATATCTACATGGTTCTAAAAGACAGAACTATAATATACCAAAAAACAAACAAACAAAAAATAAAAAAAAACCTCAAAAAGGTGCCACTTCCCACATCTGCTCTACCCTGTTCCCATTTCCCTCATCTTTTCTCCTCTGTCCTGCCCCTATGTGAGATTAATCTCATTAGTTTCTGGTTTAGACTTCCTACATTTTTTGTTGTTGTTGTTGTTCCTCACAAATATCAGATGTCATTGTATTTTTCCTTCTTTCTTATCAGTGTACCCTGGAAACTGCTTCAGATTAGTTCATAGAGATTAACCTCATTCTTTTTTATGGCTGCATAGCACTCCACTATGTGTTTCTGTCAGTGTTTAGTGAAACAACCTCTTAGGTTTATTTAGTTTCCAATATTTTGTCTTTTTTTTTTTCCGAAACAGAGTCTTGCTCTGTTGCCTAGGCTGGAGGGCAGTGGGATAATCTTGGCTCACTGCAGCCTCTACCTCCGCCTCTGGGATTCAAGTGATTCTCCTGCCTCCTGAGCAGCTGAGATTGCAGGCATATGCCACCACAACTGGCTAAAATTTTGTATTTTTAGTAGAGGTGAGATTTCACCTTGCTGGCCAGGCTGCTCTCAAACTCCTGGCTTCAGTTGATCTGCCCACCTCGGGCCTCCCAGTGTACCGGGATTATAGGTGTTGAGCCACTGCACCTGGCCTCCAGTATTTTGTGATTACAACTGATGATGCAATCAATAATGTTGTACATGTAAATATTTTCATTTTCTGGAGATGTATCTTCAGGGTGAATTTCTGAAGTAAATTGGTGGGTCAAAAGGTAAATCATATGCAGTTTTGTTGGATATTGCCAAATTTCCATCCAAGAGAATTATATCACTTTGCATCTTAGTGTAGTTTAATTTGCATTTCTCACATTATAAATGAGATTGAGCAATGTTTCATTTGTTTAAGGGCCATTTTTACATCATTTTTGTATGAATTGTTTGTTCCTGTCTTTCCCTATTGTACTTGGTTTTTTTGGCCTTTTTTACCTTGCTTAATTTTTTTTTTTCTAATTAGCTTGCTTTTTAGGAGTTCTTTATATATCAGGATTATGCTGCAGATATTTTCTGTCAGTGTGTGTCAGCAGTCTTTTGAGTTTGCTTCTGTTATTTTTTTGCTGTGCAAAAATTTTTATAATGTAATCAAATTTAATCTGTTATTGCTTCTGGGTATTAAGTCAGAGTTAGTAGTCTCTCCCTGAACTGAGGTTAAAGAGGAATTCACTTCTTTTTGCTTGTATGGTTTCATTTTTTACATTTAGTTCTGTGATCTATTTGAAGTGTATTTTTTTGTATGCTGTGAGGTATGGATTTAATTAGTTTTTTCTAAGTGGCTAATTGTCTCACACTTTTATTAAAAACCTGTCTTTGCCCCAGTGATTCATAATGATGCTTTTATTGTATTTTAAATTTCCATATATACTTGGGTATATTTCTGGACTTTCTATTCTGTTTCACTCATCTGGTTGTCTGTTCATGTGCCATTTTACAATTAAAAAAAAAAATTTTGTTTCAATTTTTATTTAGAGACAGAGTCTGTGTTTGTTGCCCAGGCTGGAGTGCATGATCATGGCTCACTGTAACATTGAACTCCTGAGCTCAAGCAATCCTCCCTCCTCAGCCTCCCAAGTAGTTGGGACTTTAGGCGCCTGCACCATTATTATGATACTTTAATTATAGAGGCTTTATAGTATGCTTTAATATCTGGTGGTGGTACTCGGTCCTTAGAGTTTTTCTCTCAGTATTTTCCTAGCTAGTATTGTATGTTTGTTTTTTCATATCAACTTGAATATTAATGTCTAGCTCCATAAAAAAACTTTGTTTGCAGTTTTATTGGGATTTCATTAATTTTTTTCCAATATTTGAAAATTGATAAAATACACATAAAAATAAAATCTTGCATCTTAACTAATTTTTTGTTTTATTTTGTTTTGTTTTTTGTTTTTTTATCTTAACTAATTTTAAGTGTACAATTCAGTGGTATTGAATACATTCATATTGTGGAACCATCATTACCATCCATCTCCAGAGTTCTTTTCACCTTGTAAAACAAACTGTACCCATTAAACAATAACTCCCCATTACCCCATCCTCCCAACCCCGGGTAATCACCAGTTCACTTTCTGTCTTTTAGGATTTTTGACTATACATACTTTTGTAAGTGGAATCAAGCAGTATTTGTCTGTTTTTGTTTTTGTTTTTTTGGGGGGGTTATTTTACTCAGCATGATGTCTTTTTTTTTTGGACTGGGTTATTTTACTTAGCATGATGTCATTATTATTGTTGTTACTATTTTGAGACAGAGTCTCACTGTTGCCCAGGTTGGAGTGCATTGGCGTGATCTCAGTTTACTGCAACCTCCATCTCCTAGGTTCAAGCCATTCTCCTGCCTTAGTCTCCCAAGTAGCTGGGATTAAAGGCGCCTGCTACCAAACCTGGCTAATTTTTGTATTTTTAGTAGAGATGTGGTTTCACCATATTGGCCAGGCTGGTCTCGAACTCCTGACCTCAGGTGATCTGCCCACCTCAGCCTCCCAAAGTACTGAAATTACAGGTGTGAGCCACCACACTTGACCTAATGTTCATTATTTTCTAAGGCTTAATGATATCTCATTCTGCGTATATACTGTATTTATTGATTTGTTTACAGACACCTGGATTGCTTCCACATTTTAGCTATTAATGATGCTGTTATGAACGTGTGTACAAACATCTCCTTACAACCTTGGTTTCAGTTATTTTGAGTGTATATCCAGAAGAGGAATTACTGGATTATATTGTAATTCTGTTTATAATTTTTTGAGGAACTGCCATTCTGTTTTCTTCAGTGGCTGCACCATTTTAAATTCCCACCAAGAATGTACAAGCCTTCTGATTTCTCCATATCTTCACCAGCACTTATTTCATATTTTTTAAAAACTTAATTGACACACAATTGTACATGTTTACAGGGTACAGTGTGATATTTTGATTCATGTATACAGTGTGTAATGATCAAATCAGGGTAATTAGCATATCCATCACCTCAAACGTTTAATGCGTTCTTTCATTTGGGAACATTCAAAATCGTCTCTTCGAGCTCAAATATACAATAAATTAGTGCTAATTATAGTCAGCCTGTAGTGCTGTAGAACACCAGAAATTATTCTTCCTATCCAATAGTAATTTTGCATTTGTTAACCAACCTGTATCTTCCCTCCTCACTACCCTTCCAGCCTCTAGTAAACACTATTCTACTCTCTAGTTCTATGAAACAAACTTTTTTAGCTTCCACTTGTGAGAACATGCAGTATATATCTTTGTGTGCCTGACTTACTTAATTAACCTATTGTCCTCCGTATTGTCCAT